GATCATCTGTGGCGTATACACAATCCATGGGGCCCCGGTGCTAAACTGATCCATGGGACACAAGATATACATACAAAGACATACACACAAACAAACAAACACACACACAAAATATTTTAGTCACCCTCCTTACATATAGTAAGAGGCCAAGAGTCGTGTAGCAAGCATCACTCTACAGCAGGAAATCAAACCATCGGCCCAATGTCCTTCCTCTATGATACCTCTATAGTAGGGGTATCCATCTAATGTTTCCCGTGGAACTGTTTGACATAGGGTACCAACATTGTGGAGCCATAGCTCAAACAGTAAAATGTTGGTTTATTTTAGTATATTTTAATTTTGGCATATAGACTAATTTCTACACATAGTAAACCGTCTGTAGTACTTAGGAGCAGGTGTGCTTCTGGGTGTAGAGTTGGTGTTTGTATGTAATGTTAGCATTTTAATACAGGGGTGTGTTTGTATGTAATGTTTGCATTTGCGTGTAGTTGTGTGTGTGTGTATGTAGTGTTGGCTTTTAAATGCTGGTGTACATTTGTGTGTAGTATTGCTGTTAGAGTGAAGGGTGTGTTTGAGTTGGGAGTTTGAATTCTTATGGATTTTTGTATGTAATGTTTGTTTGCATGTTGTGTTGGTGTTTGATTGCTAGGATATATGTACATACACTGCCACATGCCAAATACGTACATACATACTTACACAGACACACAGATACACACACCTAGACACACAGATACACACACCTAGACACACACCTAGGCACACAGATACACACACCTAGACACACGGATACACACACCTAGACACACACCTAGACACACAGATACACACACCTAGACACACACCTAGACACAGATACAAACACCTAGACACACACCTAGGCACACAGATACACACACCTAGACACACACCTAGACACAGATACACACACCTAGACACACACCTAGGCACACACATAGACACACAGATACACACACCTAGACACACACCTAGACACACAGATACACACACCTAGACACACACATAGACACACAGATACACACACCTAGGCACACAGATACACACACCTAGACACACACCTAGACACACACCTAGACACACAGATACACACACCTAGACACACAGATACACAGTGTGACGAACTGCACTTCTGGGGAAGATACTGGGGGAGACTGGTTTTTGGAGGGTCCTGCTTGCCAGCCTCCTACCCTGGGACTATGGGCCCTGTGATAACCGATGTTCAAAAGTACTGTTTCTGCCCCTTGGACTTTTAACTGGAACAGATTCAAACATGTGGCGACGGCCATCTTAAATTGTCCAGCGGTATGGGACCATGTGCACGCTGGGGCAAAAATAGGACTTCCAGGAAATTCCTGAACCCCTGAACCGATCTGGGTGATTTTTAGATATGTTGTTCACCCACATCGGGGCTATCAAGGGATGTGACTTTGTGAGGATATGTTGTATTTTGGGGTTTGTAAAAATGTGTGTTTTCTGCCTGTGGGTAATTGAGTTAGTCCATCGTCTTTGTTAATTGTATCACAGGCAGAGGGGAGGGATTGTGTACAGTATTTTTCAAATGTTTTTATTGGATTGTGCATTTCATGTCCTGTGCCCCACAGGGTCCATGTGGGCGGTAACCTTGTTGGGAAATACTGGATAAAAAAAGCAGCTGTACCATTCAACCTTCAGTTCTACTTCACCCTCAATCTAGAGTCCTGTCTCTTATTGGGGGAATCTGCTACAAGGGATTGCTATGCTCTGCATACTCCCTTGAATAATCACTAAGCTCCTGTTCCTGCCTTACTCTCTGAGGAAAGAGAGGTTCACCCACTGGAACCTGGAGCAGTGTCGTAGGTCCTGGGTGGGTAGGAGACGGCGAGACCCCAACCAAGCTGCAGCGGTTTGTAGGGTCTGCAGTGCTTATAGTGTCTGGTGCCGTGATGATGGTCCTTGGTAAGCGCTAGGAGCATCCGTCGGCGGTCCAACCCTCAGCTAGCCTGGGGCAACTATCACACACACTGACACATAAAAACAAACAAAGATACACACATACTCAGATACACACAGATGTACACACCTAGACACACAGATGTACACACTGACACTTAGATACAAACACACAGATGTGCACACACTGACACTCAGATACACACAGATGTACACACTGACACTGAGATATACACACCCAGACACACAGATGTACACACTGACATTCAGATGCAAACACCCAGACACACAGATGTACACACTGACACTCAGATGCAAACACCCAGACACACAGATGTACACACTGACATTCAGATGCAAACACCCAGACACACAGATGTACACACTGACACTCAGATACACACACCCAGATACACAGATGTACACACTGACACAGATGTACACAAACTGACACTCAGATAAACACACATTTTGGATTGTTGAAATCACGGCGGGGTTCTGCGGAACATCAATTGGCAAACACTACTCCATTTTACTTCAGCAATATCACATTTGCCAACTTTGGATACCATTTATTGGTTGTGGAGTGTCACCTGCGGGAGTGGAACTCCTAAAGGAGTCAGAAGAGTGCAAGCTCAGTTAGGAATGCTGATGGTGAGCTAGCACTGTGCACGCTTTGTATTGTGACATAACCCGGCAATGTATTGCAGACACAATAGCTGGCTGGAGCAGGAAGAGGCAACAGGAATGTCAGACAAACAGTGTTTGTTATGAAGTAAAAACAATGGCCACGGCTCCTGTATTTACTCAGATTTCTGTCCCTGGCGCTTGGACAGAACGATTTCGGAGAGGCTTCCATTTTCTGGCAACAGCTGCAAATCTCGGTACTTTATAAATGAAATAGAACCAGAAATTCCAGTCAATAAAGGGAGCCTGGGCACACAGCTTGCAGAATGTCTGGAAGTTTATAAATCTGCTCATTGAGAAGCATTAGACAGCCATGATTGGGTGCGCTCTTCAATGCACCAGGTTTAGGGTGGGATATACCCAGCAATCGGAGCAATAAACACGCAAATCAGAGCATTAAACCCGGCAATCGGAGTGATAAACACGCAAATCAGAGCATTAAACCCGGCAATCGGAGTGATAAACACGCAAATCAGAGCATTAAACCCGGCAATCGGAGTGATAAACCCGGCAATCGGAGTGATGAACTCGGCAATCGGAGTGATGAACTCGGCAATCGGAGTGATGAACTCGGCATTCGGAGCATGGCAATCAGAGCATTAAACCCGGCAATCGGAGTGATGAACTCGGCAATCGGAGTGATGAACTCGGCATTCGGAGCATGGCAATCAGAGCATAAAACCCGGCAATCGGAGCGATAAACCGGGCAATCGGAGCGATAAACAGGCAAATCAGAGCATTAAACCCGGCAATTGGAGCGATAAACCCGGCAATCAGAGTGATGAACTCGGCATTTGGAGCATGGCAATCGGAGCATAAAACCCGGCAATTGGAGCGATAAACCCAAAAAACGTAGCGATAAACCGGGCAATCGGAGCGATAAACCGGGCAATCGGAGCGATAAACCCAGCAATCGGAGCATAAAACCTGGCATTTGGAGCGATAAACCGGGCAATCGGAACGATAAACCCAGCAATCAGAGCGATAAACAGGCAAATCAGAGCATTAAACCCGGCAATCGGAGCGATAAACCCGGCAATCGGAGCGATGAACTCGGCATTCGGAGCATGGCAATCAGAGCGTAAAACCCGGCAATGAGAGCGATAAACCGGGCAATCAGAGCAATAAACCGGGCAATCGGAGCGATAAACCCAGCAATCGGAGCAAAAACGCGGCAATCAGAGCAATAAACAGGCAAATCAGAGCGATAAACCTGGCAATCGGAGCGATAAACCTGGCAATCGGAGCGATAAACCTGGCAATCGGGGCGATAAACCCAGCAATCAGAGCGATAAACATGCAAATCAGAACATTAAACCCTGCAATCGGGGCAATAAACCTGGCAATCGGAGAATTAAACCCGACAATCAGAGAATTAAACCCAGCAATCGGAGCGATAAACCTGGCAATCGGAGCGATAAACGCGGCAATGGGAGCATTAAACCCGGCAATCAGAGTGATAAACTTGGCAATCAGAGCGATAAACCCAGCATTCGGAGCGAAAACGCGGCAATCGGAGCAATAAACAGGCAAATCAGATCGATAAGCACGCAAATCGAAGCAATAAACCAGGCAATCAGAGCGATAAACCCGGCAATCTGGGCGATAAACCCAGCAATCAGAGCGATAAACGCGGCAATGGGAGCATTAAACCCGGCAATCGGAGCGATAAACATGCAAATCAGAGCATTATACCCGGCAATTGGGGCAATAAATCCGGCAATCGGAGAATTAAACCCGGCAATCGGAGCGATAAACCCAGCAATCGGAGCGATAAACCCGGCAATCGGAGCGATAAACATGCAAATCAGAGCATTATACCCGGCAATCGGAGCGATAAACCGGGCAATCGGAGCGATAAACAGGCAAATCAGAGCATTAAACCCGGCAATTGGAGCGATAAACCCGGCAATCAGAGTGATGAACTCGGCATTTGGAGCATGGCAATCGGAGCATAAAACCCGGCAATTGGAGCGATAAACCCAAAAAACGTAGCGATAAACCGGGCAATCGGAGCGATAAACCGGGCAATCGGAGCGATAAACCCAGCAATCGGAGCATAAAACCTGGCATTTGGAGCGATAAACCGGGCAATCGGAACGATAAACCCAGCAATCAGAGCGATAAACAGGCAAATCAGAGCATTAAACCCGGCAATCGGAGCGATAAACCCGGCAATCGGAGCGATGAACTCGGCATTCGGAGCATGGCAATCAGAGCGTAAAACCCGGCAATGAGAGCGATAAACCGGGCAATCAGAGCAATAAACCGGGCAATCGGAGCGATAAACCCAGCAATCGGAGCAAAAACGCGGCAATCAGAGCAATAAACAGGCAAATCAGAGCGATAAACCTGGCAATCGGAGCGATAAACCTGGCAATCGGAGCGATAAACCTGGCAATCGGGGCGATAAACCCAGCAATCAGAGCGATAAACATGCAAATCAGAACATTAAACCCTGCAATCGGGGCAATAAACCTGGCAATCGGAGAATTAAACCCGACAATCAGAGAATTAAACCCAGCAATCGGAGCGATAAACCTGGCAATCGGAGCGATAAACGCGGCAATGGGAGCATTAAACCCGGCAATCAGAGTGATAAACTTGGCAATCAGAGCGATAAACCCAGCATTCGGAGCGAAAACGCGGCAATCGGAGCAATAAACAGGCAAATCAGATCGATAAGCACGCAAATCGAAGCAATAAACCAGGCAATCAGAGCGATAAACCCGGCAATCTGGGCGATAAACCCAGCAATCAGAGCGATAAACGCGGCAATGGGAGCATTAAACCCGGCAATCGGAGCGATAAACATGCAAATCAGAGCATTATACCCGGCAATTGGGGCAATAAATCCGGCAATCGGAGAATTAAACCCGGCAATCGGAGCGATAAACCCAGCAATCGGAGCGATAAACCCGGCAATCGGAGCGATAAACATGCAAATCAGAGCATTATACCCGGCAATTGGAGCAAAAACGCGGCAATCGGAGCAATAAACAGGCAAATCAGAGAGATAAGCACGCAAATCAGAGCGATAAACTGGGCAATCGGAGCGATAAACATGCAAATCAGAACATTAAACCCGGCAATCGGGGCAATAAATCCGGCAATCGGAGAATTAAACCCGGCAATCGGAGCAATAAACCCAACAATCGGAGAATTAAACCCAGCAATCGGAGCGATAAACCTGGCAATTGGAGCGATAAACGCGGCAATGGGAGCATTAAACCCAGCAATGGGAGCGGTAAACATGCAAATCAGAGCATTAAACCCGGCAATTGGGGCAATAAATCCAGCAATCGGAGAATTAAACCTGGCAATCGGAGCAATAACCCCAACAATCGGAGAATTAAACCTAGCAATCGGAGCAATAACCCCAACAATCAGAGAATTAAACCCAGCAATCGGAGCGATAAACCTGGCAATTGGGGAAATAAATACGGCAATCGGAGAATTAAACCCAGCAATCGGAGCGATAAACCCGGCAATCGGAGCGATAAACCTGGTAATCGGAGCAATAAACACGACAGTTTAATTTTTTTTTTCATTCAGTAAGGAAAAAGCCAACTGGTAGAAATTTCAACTTTT